AATTTAAAATATCTTAAAAATAAACTCTGCAAATTCTATGAACAAGAGTTGGCGGCAATGCACAGGAGTACAAGCCCCAAAGGATGCTGTGACTTGAACAAAGGCTGAGCCTGAGGAGTGCTAGGCTGACAGAGCTTTGCATCTGTGTCTCTGTTACAGTGGGGTGCAAATATCTCTCTGAGCACCCGGCTTCTTTGACTGAGGATGACTTCATGTGTACCATTTCCACTCGGCACTCCATTTAGTCTAGTCCATCCTAGATCCTTAATGCCTTTTGAAGAGAGGGTCAGAGGAAAGATTTAAGAGACTCCTGTGTGAAAACCTCAGTTGTCCCTAGTGAAGTAGGACAGGGCAGGATTTAGCACACTCTCAACACCTGAAATGTAACCATGTGCTAGGGATGACTAAGCATGTAAACACATACATATTAAATATATGCACATTTCTCAGTTTAGCTTATCATTTTAAAAGCCCTAGCTGTCATACCATGATAACTATGAAGCTTATAACCTCCCCTTTAAAGGTGGTACACCAGAGGCCAGGCATTATTCTATATGTGCAAGATGATATCTACTTGCAAATATGTGCATTGTTTTGTCTCTTTTTTTTTAAAAAAAAAAAAAAAAAGTTTGTGGTACAAGAAAATACCACTTACAGTGTATACACAGAAAAAGTTTTCATCTGCTTTATGTTTTGACGTGATAGTCTATATTTTGACTCCAGAGTGTGATGACTGTATAACTTTGCACATGAATTTCATCTTTCCTGTCAAGGTACATTATTTTAAGGGTGACAATAACTTGGCTTCAAATGAGGTGAAACCATCAGAGTGATAAATGAGTTTCTTGAGGAGGGAAGTTATACCCTGGGAATACACTTTGCAAGACCACACACCTCTGCTTAACCAAGCTTGTTAGCTTTACAACTCATTACAAATACTTGTTCTAATGCATATGGCAGGGAAGAGACCTGAGCACTTGACTTTTGAAAATACAGTGTATGTTACATGGTGATATTAGTCTTGCTTTTCACATTGGCCTTTTGTGCGAGTCTGCTGCTTAGCAGCTAAAAGCTGCCTTTGCTCCCTGTGTTGTTCTGCAGACTTCATTTTTTTTTTTGATGTCAGATCCAGAGCAGACAGGTCAGGCTTTTACACACTACAGCCAAGGATAGCTTCACTTTATTGCTCTGAAATTCATATTGCAACACAAGGGGAAAAAAAGCCCTTGCCAAACACTATTGAGTCTTTACAAACGTTCCTAGGCATCCCTTTAATTGTTAGTGAATCAAGTTAACTTCAATGTACTTCAACCTTGCTCTGCCGTTTTTGTATTGTCAGCCTCCTGTTCCCTGCAGCAGAAGTGAAACATGGAGAAGAAAGGATATAGCCTAAGCCCTGGGCAGACAAGATCTCAGCTCTGCTCCTCCATGGCCAATGTGCAACGTGCTACTGTTAATCTTCTCCTCTCCCTCAGCAGTTCTGCACTTTCTAGGAGTAATGGCTTGGTAAACATTTAGGGGTTGCATTAAATAATACCTGTGTGATGCATTAGTCCCTCATGTGCTTCACACAATTACTTTAAGTAAGTTAGCAAGATAACTGAAAGATTTTTTTTATCCTTATTTTCTCCTTCAAAGAGTTGCCTGAGGGACAATCTGACTTGATTTTTCTGGTTATTAGATACTTCAGAGATGGTGTATATGGTGATAAGTTTAACGTTAGGTTCTTCTGCACAAAAATAGTAAATTAAAAGGCAGACTTGATGGATGTACCCACCTTCCTATTCCCACAGTGCCACCTTTGAAAATCAGAGACTATCTTGCCATTTTCCTGTCATACAGTCAGGGATAAACAGGCCTAAAGGTAATTTTAATGAAATTCAACTGTCGGGTGTGGTTTTTCAGTGAAATTCAGTTTTGCAGAACCTTTTTCAAACATCAACCACAGCAGCTTCTGTGAGCCACGTGAGAGGTGGCTTCTCCATAACAAGCAGATGTTGAACCCTGCTGCAAACGTTAGGACGTTTGGGCCACCTCAGTGCAGGCACCAGCTGCACTCACTGTCCTGTGTGCTTAGAGAATTCATGTGAAGTATTTAAGTTCCATCTTGACCTGAAAGGACCTTTCATTTGCAGTGCTCGCTTGCTCTGACACCCTAGTTTTGTTGCTGGAAACCCCTGTCCCCAGGTTGGTATTTGCAGGGCCATAGCAAGCCTGGTAGTGCCGGGGGATGCTGGTAGGTAGAGCTTGTGCTCTTAGGAGTGAAGTGCTGCCACACAGGCCAGCACATGTGGACCCTTTCCCCAGCCTGCCCTGCCCTCTTCTGGGCACTGGCAGCAGGATGGGAGTCTAAAATACGTTCTGTGAAAAACCTGGGCTCTCTTTTTATTTAATTATATCTACTGAACATATATTTGCAGTTTGCTGTCTCTAGAAAGGTGACGTGGAGCCCCTGCCCTTGCTGCCTCTGTCACTTGGCTTTGCTTGCTGCACAGAGCCTGATCCTTTGCAAGAGTCGGGAGCTACTTCCAAGCAGAGAGAAGGGGGAAATCAGTATTAGCTCAAACACTTGCTTCCCTCTTTACACAAGCTATAATATATATATATATATATATATATATATTTAAAGATGTATATGAATTTTCGTGCTCATGAAAGATGGGGCCCAGCAGTGGCGAGGCGTGCCAGGCATAACACAGGCAGGTGCTGTGCAGACTTCCCACTGCAGCTCCGTCAATGCCTCTCAGTCCGTCTCCTTGTAGTCTCGGGGCTCTCAGGATGGACCAAGGGCCGTTTTTATGAAGTGCCTAAATGCTGGCTCCCCCGTGCCGGACGTCAGGAGGCGAGAGATGGAAACACTGAGGCTTTCTGCCCCGGCTGCCTACACTAACCCCAATCAATTAGCACCTGCTTTTCAGAGCCTGGCTTCTCCTTTGGCCCGGACGGATCTACGCAAGCACTTCTGGGCCACTCACACCTGCTAATGCAAACCCTAAAATGCCACACACAGGCAGCGGGTGAAGCTGGGTCAAAAAATAGTTGTAAATCAGGCCCTTCTTTTAGCTAGTTTTATCCCACTCCCGCTGAAAAACAATTTTTGCATTGGCAAGACGGCTGGGTCGATGGCCGCCAATATTTGGAGTGAAAGTGGCATTCATAAGGGCCTCGCTGACAGCTGGGAACGGCTGCTGGGCGGGAAATGCTGCCTTGGCTGCCAGGGTATGTTGGGATGAGAGCGAGAGCTGAAACCTAGAACTGCGCCAGCAACTGTTCCCTCTCGAAAGGCACTGTCTGGGTGTGGTGACAGGTGTCTTCTAAAGAGATGTCACCAATACAGAGAGAAAAGCCTTTGTATGTTTGCAGGATGAGGATTTTTCACTTCTCTGGGGTAACAGTGTGTCCCCAGGAACCTCATCTGGACTTGGAGCACTGCCTTGTGGAGAAGGAGAGCCGGGGTTGGCCGAGCATCCTAATCCTGCACTGGTGTGCCGTCATTCCTCCCACCTTCACTGTGGCAGCTTTGCTGCTCTATCCACTTCTCTTTATATAATTCTCTGCTCTCCATCATTTCTTTCTCTTTCATTCCTCAATTCTCCCTTTTCATCCTCTTTTTCACTCTTGTCATTGTCCTTGTTGCTTGTTATATAATCTTCAGTTGAAGACTGGCCTTTTGAGAAACCTAAGGGGTCCATACCTTCTGACATATGTAGCTTTAAAATTTCCTACTATTCCTGATAAAAGAGGGTTTTTTTTTAGACATTCTTTTCTTTTTCTGTTCCTTTAAACTATGTTTAAATAATTTGACTTTTGAGTAGGATCATTATTTCATTTTATAAGCTTGCACTAATAACCGTGTGCAAAATGTTATGCTAGCAGTCATCTGTATGAACCTATGAGCTTATATTTGCATGTCTAGTTCAAGAAAACACTTAAAAATATTGAATGAAGACACTTAGTTACCGCTGGTCAGGGAATATTTTTTCCTCTTTCAGGAGAGATAAGAACAACAAGGCTTTTGAGGCACCTAAGTACTTCTTTGATTATACTGAAAAAAATCTGAAGTTCTTCAAAACAGCCTGTTAGGATTTACAGATGTTGTTTTTATGGAGAACTTCCTCGCTATTTTTTTCAAAAGGCATACTATTCATGAACTTTTCCATTTTTACAAAAAGTTCTTTTCCATTAAAGGCGTTGATGGAAATTCTTGACTACCTTGAGAATAAAAGTCCAGTCTCTAAACATAGTTGCTAATATGCTTATTGTTCACTGTGATTTTGCAGTTTGGTCATTAGATGGTGCTCAAGAGATTAAATATGATGATTTTTCTAGTTTATATTTTTAAGAAACTGTAGACTACAGTTTATATAGCTTCTGCTTGTATCTACACCAAATATTTATGATGTATGACTTTATCCTAAGTAAAAGTAATGGAAGATTTGCTTCTAACTTCAACAGGAGTAAGGTCTCTGCTAATTAAATGTTATAATGGAGGATACCTGCTGAAAATTACTGTTTTTTTAGACACAAACTGAAAATGTAGCCACTGTTTTGACTACTAATTAATTTGAAAGTTTTCTATGATTTTTCTAACATTGGTAGGATTTTTGATGAAAAATTAGCAAACGCTTCAGTTATAAAAATAATGATTTTGTGATACCTATAAATTATATGTCTATTATTTAAAAACATCGATGTGTTTGATGATGAGAAATATTTTACTGTGAGCTAACCGCTTGCAAATACTTTTTATTTCCTTTTAGACATGGTAACATTTTTAGTTCACACATGAAAGTGAATGCATTGTGAAGATGGCTCCCTGTCTGTAATGTTACCTACTGCTAACATTTGTTTTGTTATTGTGAATATGTTTATATGTGAATATTGTGAATATGGAAGATTCCTTCAGGCACCTTTGTTTTCAGTGCAGCTAATAGATGTCTTAAGTTGAACAAGTTAACAGGTTTAACAGATTTTTGATCCCTTTATGGTTCTTTTTTCAGACTAGTTCACTGGAGATTACCAGGAAACGAGTCCTCATTTGTCCTCATTTGGAAATGAAGGTCAACATTTCATAGTAGTCTAGAGGTGAAGTACTTTTTCATTCTGATAAGTACCACTTCATTTTTCTGTGTTTCAGCTATTGTTACTCGGCCATCCAAGAGTGTAGATGGTCCTATATTTGTAGAGTAACAGCTTCATAAACCGAGAAATTGAGTACAGAAGGCATATTTTTGGCAATCAAGACCATAGCATCTCACTCCCTTTCCTACCAATATCATTAGATATTGAAGAAAAAAGATGCAATGAAGATCTGATAATTTAATAAACATGGACATTTGTAAGGGATGACTTGTGATTCACCTTCATTCTTAGGCCTGTTGCAGGAAGGAAAGTCTGGATTCAGTGCAGGGCTGAGCCTTTTCTATCAATTTCTCCTTGGCAGTTCACAGGCATTTTAGCAGAATTTGGTGGTTCATTATCAAATGACTCAAATCAGAATTTCTGGATTCAGATTCATAATACTTGCCTATGGTTTGTACTTAACCCATGCATTTTTAATCTTTTATCTATTGGCTCTGTCTTTCCAAGGTTGCCCACATAATTGAAAACCACATATACCTCCTGTTGGCAGCTCATAAACTAGTTATTTCTTCAGAAACTCTCCCTAAAACTTGAGTAACTACATCCAAACTGTCTGCTTAAGTCAGGTCTTGTTACTTAGCCCTGCCCATGATGCAAGACAGTTGCCATTTAATATCATTATTTAATGTGCAAACCTGCTATGACTATGGTCCATTATACCAAAAAGGGGTTATTAAACTAAAAGCGGTATTAAACTTTAAATTCTGTGTTTGTACAGATGATAGTGAGATCACAGTTCCAATATATACAAGAATAAGAAATTGTTCAAATATATTAAAGGGTGCTGTGTTTTGTTTGCAGCCCTTACAAGAAAATTAGAGCAAAAACACAGAGTAATGGAGAAGTCAGACATTTTTGCCATAGCTTTTAACTGGCAACAGAATGAGAAATATTTTTGTTGCCAGGCATGAATTTACCAGAAGGTGCTTGGAAACCATAAAGCTCTTCCCCTTTTCTCTCCTCATTCTCTCAGCTCTCCTCATTAAATGGCACTGTACACTATGGGGCATATACCCTAAGAGTCTAGTCATGGCATGCATCAAGACTCATGCAACAACACATGTAAAACCCTGCATTTTAAGATTATTTACAGAGTATCAGATGGAGAATTTGATTTTCTTTTTCTTTTTTTTTTTTAAAGGAGGAGGAAGGAATAGAATAACATCAGAAAGTCAAATTTCATCAGTTGCCAGGAGCCAATGACACTCATTTGAGGATTTTGGAGGAAATATAATGCCAAAGAAAAGAAATAGTTGTGAGAATTTGCAATATATAATTAAAAGTAGAAACTGTGTCTCTACTCTGGAAAGATAACAAGATGAGAAAACTTAAAAACAGAATTCAGACAGATTATGGAAACTACATGCTAAATGCTTTATTGCTCTATGTGTACTGCATACTTTATTGTAAATAAGGTCAGGGCAATGCCTACAAAAATCCCATCCTGAAAGCTTTTAAATTTATTATAATATAGGAGAACAAGATTTGGTTCCACTTCAAAAAAATATTCTTGTTCCTATTTGCTCACAGACGCTGTACAAACTCTTGTGATTCATATTCTTCCATTCCAGCAAAAGTACTCACAGGCAGTAATGACCTTTCATAGATGGAAATGTACTAATATATGTAGCTAGCATATATATGTAGCACAGTGAAAAAAAATCATCATTTGGAAAGTCAGTACTGTTAATTCCACATCAATTTACAATTTCTTTATGTTAAAACACTTCAAGATTTTATTAAACGATAATCCAGAAGGAGCAAATTACTTGTATTATTTCACAGTGAAATGTAAGCAATTTTATGTTCACAGTAACCCAACCCAAGTGAACTCCTCTTCAAAATGCAAGCCAAGCTGATCTAAAATCAGGGGTTTGGGAATGGATGAAGGAGGGACATGAAAAAACTTCCAATTAAAGGACAATCAAAATATACCCTGCCAATTAAAACACCTTGTCCTGATCCAAAACAAACTGCAGTAAAAAAAAAATAAAAAAGAAAACACAACAAACACATCTATTTTACAGCTTGTGTATTTGTATCAGATTCCATTGTCTTTTAATTGCTGGTCTATATCCAGTTAGAAAAAACATGATAGTGCAGATTTCTAGTTTAATTATTACAGACTGAAAAATCCTTAATTTGAACTGGCACTAAAGATTGGTCCAGAAAAACAATTCTCTGTGACATGTTGGAAAAGAGAGCAAGAAAGCAATAGCTGATGGAAAGTGTGGGAAAAGAGGAAAAGTATCACTTTCAGCTTTAGTGTTTAATGGCAGTTGGCCATTGATATAACACCATATCATTAATATACCATTAAATTGTGTTTTTCAGAGATTGAAGTTGTTCTGGCCCCCTTCAGGTGCCTTTTAGGTTCTCACTGCTTCTTAGATTGGTCCAGTTGCATGTTATTGTCCCTTACAAGCAGACAGTTTTTAGAGAAGGTTTAAGGTCGGAAGGGCTTTCTGGAGATCATGTAGTCCAACACCCCTGTTCAAACAGTGTCACCTGCTTGCGGAGAATCTTGCCCAGAGAGCTTTGGAATCTCTCTGGAGATGGAGACTCCAAATGGTCTTTCTTCCATTCTTGAGGCACCTCTTATCTTCTCCAGGTCCTTTTAAAGATAAAGGATTATGGCCTAGAGATAACGTCCTGCCTGCTCCTGCAGGAGCTGTGGATGAATCCTATAGGAGTCCATGGATTTGTGGTTATCCTTGTCAGTTTACCCTGCAGAGATATTTTTGTTGTTAGTCTGCCATTTATGATAATGAAATATTTCACTTTTTACCTCAAATATTATGACCTCAGTATCACTCTTAGTAATAAATAAATAATAAATAAGTATTAAATAAGTAATTCCTTTCCTTAATCATAAAATACTACAGATAGTTTTGCTTTTGCTCTGATAACAGAATTCATTCAACATTCATCAGAATTCAACAGATTCACAGAATCATGGAATGGTTAAGGTTGGAAGGGACCTCTAGACATCACCTAATCCAACCCCCTGCTCCAGCAGGGACACCCAGAGCACAGGGTACAGGGTGGCATCCAGGCGTATGTTGAAGACCTCTAGAGAAAGAGACTCCACAACCTCCCTGGGCAGCCTGTTCGAGGGCTCTGTCACCCTCACAGCGAAATAATTCTTCCTCACATGGAGATTGAACTTCCTGGGTTTCAACTTACACCCATTGTTCCTTGTCATATCACTAGCCACCACTGAGAAGAGTTTGGCCCCCTCCTCCTTACATTCACTCTTCAGATATTTATACTTATTGACCAGATTCCCTCTCACCCTTCTCTTCTCCAGGCTAAACAGGCCCGACTCACTTAGTCTTTCCTCATGAGATAGATGCTGCAGTCCCTTAATCATCTTTGTGGCTCTCCCCTGGACCCTCTCTAGAAGCTCCACATCCCTTTTATATTAGGGGAGCACAAAACTGCACACAATACTCCATGTAAAGTGATCTATTGATTTTTTCAAATGACAGTGGAATACTGTATTGATCCAGTGTATCTGGCAATGAGTAAATAGTGTGCTAGGAAGCTAAAATTGCCACGATTTCTTAGTGGCTGTGGAAAAGTCTAGTGACCACTAATGAAATCTTGCTTGGATAGACATATATGGAACAATTCAATACAATCTTGATATTGCAGATTTTTCTTTGACATTAGAAAGCAGCTTTCTCAATGAGATAACTTAAAATCTGCCTCATTTACCTGTCTCTAGCAGTATTGTCCTTGAGATATATTGAAACATGTTTTTTTTTTTTTTCTGATAATATCTGTTTAACATGAGAAACTAAATTCAGGATGGCAGAAAGATGCCCTATCTGCTTCTCCTGGGGAACTGGTGACTCTTGACAAGAACATGTCCCCTTTTTCCTTCTTCATCTACAGATGAAGAAGAACTACTATAATCAAAATGACAGAAAAAATAAATATGTAAAAATAGGAAAGAATAAAATCAGATGATCATCCTCACTGAAAGGATTTTGGTGCAAATATTAACAAAATATTCCTGCTTCACATTGGATTTGGATTGGTAATTGCAATCATTTAGGCATTTCATGTTGAGATGGATTATTTTCTTCTTATTATGGCATTTTGAAATTTGAATTATTATGACTAAGGAAATGAAAAAAAAATCAAGATATTCATTATAGCCTTATTGCTACTTTTTACAATTACATAGGAACTTTCATGCCCTGAATTTTCTGTAAGCACATGACAAAAAAGATATTGCAATGAAATAGTTAAGTGTCTAATGTTCTTTTAGTGTTGCTGGGTATGACTTAAAATAACTTTAATGAATTTTTGGAGAAATTATGACCTTGAATTGTTTTTTTTTTAGGAATAGTGAGTGACTGAAAATCATTTAAAACTAGAACTATGCGTATTCCAAACAGACAAGTCTAGTAAATATTTCTGTGAATAATGAGGTTTAGTTTAAAATCAAACAAGCAATAAAATAACAAAATGCCTTGAAAAATCCTGAAAGTGATAATCTATTTTTGGCTTACAAAGTATTTTTTATTTTGCATATCCTTCATTAATGGGAAAGCTGGCAAAGCACCTCTTGACTTTTGTGGTGGGTTGGAAAACTACAGTAAATGGAGAAAATTGGCATTGAAGAATATATAGAAAACAAAGGATTTCTGCACCTAAAAAGGGGAAATAAAGGAAATGGGGATTCAGGGATTCCAGTGTGGCTTTGCCCTTCTTATTTTACAAAATGATGTACATAAAAAAAAGAAATATGGAGGTTATGTATCTGTGTGGTCCAGCTCCCAGCTGCGGTCTGAGTCAACTGCTTTCATGCTGGAATGAAGTGCCTGTTTCACAATCATAAGAAGAGGAAAAAAGCTCAATCCATGAGTATACCACAACAG